TAGATAAATTTAATCCAATAATAAAATTAATAAGAGAAAGATAGGTAAAGCTAAGCCACCTTCCTAAGCGCTAAAGAAAATGTAAACTAGTTCTATATTTTTTAAGGAATTGAACGAAAATGTGAAAAATAATCATCAACCCCTTCTTACTATCACAAGCAAGTTTAAACAAGCAATTACACGAACTTAATTACTTAGCTAGTAACAAGTTAATATGACCAAACAACTAGCATGCACTCTAATCAATTTAATCATATAGCTATAAATCAATAATGTAGAAAAACATAAAATACCCAAATAAGATAAGTTTAGAAATAAAACTCGTAATCTCATAGTGATTACCAAAAGCTTCAACTTGATTCGACCAAGAATAGAGTTTAGTTGCTCATAATGGATTATAAAAATAGAATTTCTATGGATGGTGGCTGCTAAAAGGTGAAAATCTTGAAATAATGTCGTAGCTTTACTATTTATACCTAAAACTAGAGTCGCATCACATAGGTGTCGACCCACACGTGCCACATGGATTAATAAAATAAGTTACATGGTTTGTTGCTTAATGTTACATGGGTTGGACCTTGAAGAATAAGTGTTACATGATTTGCTAACTAAGACACGCGATCGTGTGCCTTTGTTCTTCATTTCGTGTTGCTTTCTTACTACCCATGTAGACTTTTTCCTTTAAGTCATGTTGAATCTTTTCCGCCCATGTAAACTTGTTTTGCTTGCTAGACATGGGCATGTGACTTTGCACTACAAATATTGTGCAATATCTTCTCGCCCGTATGGTCTTCTTTTCTCTTGGGCTTTGCTAGGATGAGACATCCACACGACCATATGGGATTTTTTCCTCTAGTCGTGTAGAATGATATCGCCCGTATGGCTTGTATTGTTGAGCAATCCACACGGCTTTGCTCCTTCATGTCACACAACCAATAGCTTTTTTCTTTCTTATTTCACATAACTCGTGTGACTCTTTTAAGCCTCTTTGATGACTTATCTCTTCTTTGCTTTGATTTTGGGTTTCTTTGTTCCGATTTATCGTTTTTCCTATAAAATCCAAAATCATCATCTTATTATTAAATAGCACAATGTATTACAATAAACACTAAAAAATTCAATGCAATTAGAGCATAAAAATAATGCTAATTATGCACTCACCATCCATATAATTAATCCATATATAGATAATCATTATCTTGAGGTATATGAAGAAATTAAAATAGAGAAGCTGAAGAGAAGTTTTTTTTTCCTTCATATAATCCAAATATATATGTATCTATAAATATAATGATATAATATTGGTAATTATCAATTTTTTTTAATACAAATTGGTAATTATCAATATAATTTGTTTGTGATAAATCTTAATTAGAATGAGACTCATATTTGCTTATCTACCAAACGAAATGAAATAATCAAGATACATAGTTTATTTAGAAAGGTACTCTTATATTTACGAACACCGATTTTAATTTTCTATCACAAGTTGCATAATAGAAAGACCACTCCTTTTTCATGTGAATCTTTTTTTATATAAAATATATTAGAAATTATACGAGTATTTATAATTATCGACTTGAATAATGATAAGTTGCTAATAAATAAAGATAATGGTTTTCAATATGGATAATGATTGATCAATATGTATTCATTTTCTTTTTTATCAATCAAATTAACTCTCTTATTCTCTTTTGTGAAATTGGAAAAACAAAATTTTTAACATTTCAAGCAGACTTAAAAATATGAAATCTAACTCCTTAGTTTTTTGTTTTCATATATATTAAGATGATAGATTATATTAGTCATGCAATTATATGTTTTTTATATTTTTTTTTAAAGAAAAAAAGATATTGTTTTAGAAAATCTTCATGTAGAGAATGCCATATGTCATAATTAATTTTTTTAGTAAAAAGAAACAAAGAAATTGTTTTAGAAAATCTTCATTTAAAGAAATATCATGTCATTTAAGACATTTAAAAAAAAATAATGGAACATGTCATGTCAAAAAAAAAATCCTCAATTTTCATTATATAGTATTGACGTCGGTCCCGTAAAAACAAAATCAATCGAAATCCACTAGCACAAATACGAAGCTAAATCCAAAACTAACACTCATAATATTAATAAAAATCAAAACTAATACCACACAATATAATAGTACCCGAAACCACAATCCTCGTTGCAATAATATAATTCCAACAAACAATCACAAACACTCCTATGCACAAGATTCCACATGAAATCGAAATAGCTAACCTTAAAGTAGCAAAAGTATCAAGCTTTTGTTGATTTTGACAAGATTCGGAACCCACTAAAAACCCCAATAAGAATAAATATGTAAACCTAAGTAAACACAAGATTTAATGCAGTTGGTCGATACACCATTCTAATTAATCAAGTCAAGTATATAGCGAGTACGCTCCTAAACCAAGCACAATGATAAAACAAATTAAGAGAAAAAACTCTCACAAAGTTTTATTTAAAATATTCAAAAATCTCCTTTCTATAGTACTTAATAATTTTTAAATATTCACTCATAAAATTGGCCAAATAGAGCACCAAAAAGATGTGGCAATTTTCGTTCGAGTTAATCACATTTTTAGTTTAGTACGGCGTCAATTTTTTCTAATCAAGCGTGTCTTTTTTTAACCCTTTTTATTTGAATAATCCAATTGTAATTTTTTTTCTAATCAAGTGTGTCCGATAATTGTCTATCAATTTTTTTTGTTATTTGCATATGTGGCCAATTAGTAAGACCCACTTGACATGTTTTAATGACATGATAGCCATATGTGAGACATGTGGCTACCACTTATAAATGACATGGAAAAACATCAAAAGAAGGAAAACACGTCCAACTTGCCCTAATGAAGAAAACCCTAAGAGAGAGAAAATCTTTTCTCTCGTTAAAAAATCACCCCATCGTCGGCTCCACCACCACAACATCAAAAGAAGGAAAACACGTCCAACTAGCTCTAATAGAAGAAAACCCTAAGAGAGAAAATCTTTTCTCCGGTAAAAAATCATCCCATCGTTAGCTCCACCACCACAACCCATTGTCGATTGTTGCCCGATTCATGACCATCTCTCCCCATTCCCATAAACCCAACCAAAATTCCACCAAAAACAACCTCTCCCACGACCATAAACTATGCTAGGAAACTACAAACCTAGTCCCGATATGATCAACTCCGTAGAAAAAATCCACGACTTTGACAAGTTCCTAAAAGATGCTATGATTATAGGACTTAAACCTAATGGTGTAGTAAGGAGGTTGACGGTCGTGCTTGAATATTTTTCAGCAAGAGTGGAGTAGATTCTTAGAGGTAATCATGACTTGATTTATGGGTTCAATTCCTTAATGCCGCTTTGTATCAAATCAACCTTGACGATAAGGAGAAAAACGAAACTCGGACAATTAAATTAGCCTTGATGATGAGGAGAAAAAGGAAAATGAGACGACCATAGAGGGAAGGCAATTAAAGATCGATAGGCTATAGATTTCGAGTGAAAGGCATTAGCCTTGATGATGAGGAAAAGAAGAAAAATGAGACAACCATAAAGAGTAAGGTAGTATGATACCGAGAGGGCATGGATTTTGTAAACAAGCTAAAGATCAAGTGTGGTCGGGGTGGGTTTTCGTCGTGGAAGAGGTGGTTTCGGTGGAATTTTGGTCGGGTTTATAGGAGTGGGGAGAGATAGCAACGGTTGGGTAACGATCGATGGTGGTTGAGGGTGAAAGAGGAGTTGACAATGGGGTGGTTTTTAGGAGAGAAAGGATTTTCTCTATCGTATGGTTTTCTTCTATTAGGGCTAGTTGGATGTGTTTTCTTTCTTTGGTTTTTTTCTACGTCATTTACACACTTGACTACCGCATCATTCAAGCATGTCAAGTGGGTCCCGTTAATCGGCCAAAGGTGTAAATAATGAAAAAAATTTGATGGAAATTTAATGGAGACACTTGATCGGGAAAAAAAATTGCAACTTAAATTACTCGGATAACAAAGATTAAATAAGACACACTTGACTAGAAAAAATTAACAATTTAGTAAGCTGAAAATGTAATTAACTCATTTTCTTTCTTAATAGAAAAGGAAGATTCGACCCGAACCCTAAAACAAAACAAAAAATAAATAAATCCTTAGGCCTTAAAACCACACACTTAAAAGTCTAATTTGTATTTAATAAGGATTAATTAACATAGTCTAGAACAACAATAAATCCAAAACAAATAAGCATTAAAATAAACTCTAAATACAAATAAAAATATTTTAAGTAAAATATTTGAATCAAAATATTCGGTTCAAAATCAGTTCGAATTCTCGATTTCGTTGTCACGAGCATAGTCTTGTGTCAAGTATATATTAGTACTTTGAAATGAGATAGAATATGTTCAGTAGATTTGATAGAAAGTGGGGCATGAGCATTACAAGGCCCAAGATATCGTGAAGCAAAATTAAAAAGAACAAAAAGAAAAAAAAAAAAAAAGACTGAAACATAGTGCTTAAGATAGTGAATTTATATAGAGGCTTGACCTACCAAAGTGTTCTTATAACCTTATATAGATGAAATCTTAGAAAGAAAAATATTATCATTACTCTTGATATAAGATTGGAATGATGTACTGAAACTTAACATGGTACTAATCCTTTTGTAGGAATAGCACAAAAAGACAGAGAAATTAAAGGAAAATCAAAGGTCCAAGGCCCATTTTTAGAAGACACTAAACCTAACAAACCCAAAGGCCCAGCTCAACAAGATATAATATCAAAATTTTAAACCCAGCAACAGCCTAACCCCCACGCGCATAAAAAGCCAACTACTAATAGAACATGTGAAATAACCAAACTACCCTGCGTTCCACTCTCGGTTCGAATTTGGCTTTAGCCTACTTGTTGAACAAGCAGACCCTTGGCCTTGATAAAATATATCCCTCGCTCCCTCCCCGAAGCAATCAAAACCAGAGATCCAACAACAGATCGAGAGAAAAGAAAAAAATGGAGTGCGTATTTGGACTAGTAGGTGACGGTTTCGTGATCGTAGTAGCAGACACATCTGCTGTTAACAGCATCTTGGTCCATAAAACCAACGAAGACAAGATTATGAAACTCGACTCTCACAAGCTCGTCGCTGCTAGCGGCGAGTCCGGTGACCGGTTGGTTACTTCGCCATTACAACATATTAGCTTATTGATCATTAATTACGTCTTTTTTTTTAGCTAATTTGTTTTCTTGGGTTTTGTTTTTCAGAGTTCAATTCACGGAGTATATACAGAAGAACGTGGCTTTGTACCAGTTTCGTAATGGGATTCCTTTGACCACTGCAGCTGCTGCTAACTTTACTCGTGGAGAGCTCGCTACTGCTTTGAGAAAGGTAATACTTTTTATTATTATTTTTTAATTTGATTTTACCGTTTCAGATTTTGGGTTTTAGGGTTTTTTTTTTTTTTTTTTTTTTTTTGAGTGAATAGGTTGGAGTGATTTTTACCATTCGATGCTGGTGAATAATTAGACCTATGTGAATTTCATTACCTATTTTTGGTAATGTCCTTGATTGGTTTGATTAACGGCTGCTTTGGTTTTAGTGGAGATTACATTGCTGTGGGATTTTGTTCTGCCTTGGTTTTCTGGGTTCACATTATGAGACTTCCGATTTGTGCAATAAGAATGTGAACTATCACCTTTATCATATAAATTACTGTCAAAATCACGGTTTTCAGAAATTTGGGATCTCAGTTTATAATGATTGTGAAGGAATGATTTAGAGAAGCCTGTGAAATTGAGAGATAGGGGCTGTTTTGCAAGGTGGGGTATGTTAGTAGGGTCCTTTGGAGCAGAGAAATACGAGTTTAGGGTGATAAAAGGAGCAAGGAACTGGTCTGTGGAGGAATAATTCATCAACATTGGAGGACAAAGAATGCTCTTGAAGAGCCAGAAAGTAGAAAGAGAAGGGAAAGAAATTATGTGTTGTGTTATGATCCTTTCTTCCTTGTTTGTTCAGATGGGAGTAAAAATATGATCTGACAGCTCCACCCCCCAGCCCCTAAAAAATAATAGTAATAATAAGAAAGGTACAAATCACATCTTTATACAGAAGAGCTTCCTCAAGGCCGCAGAGATAGTGTAAGTCATCTATGTGCTTGTAAGCAATTAAGATTACAAACTATCAAGTGCTAATAGTAAATAAATAAATAAATACTGAGATGGTTATCTGACAAAAAATCTTAAGCACCATGTCTGTAAACTAAAGCATAGTTTATGTATGCCTATTTGGATTAGGGAACTCCATTAAGCAGGAACTTATTTCTTGTGTGCCCTTGGTATCAAAAAGAAGGTATTTCATGCAGTCACATGTGACTGCTGCACCAATGAATGCTGAAATTTGTGATCTTTGAGATAACAGCCTAGTGTGTAAGAGTGAGTTTTCTGGTCTTATATTGTAGTATTGAAAATTTTAGGTCATAACTTTTGTGTGTTTTTTTAGTTGCCTCCTGTTGAAAAATCTCCCTTGTCTTCCATAAAAAGGGATCGTCTTTCCTGGCACAATTTAAGTTTCAATTGTCAAATGACATATACCAATGAAGTTTAGTTTATGGTGGCATCTGATATGAAACTTAAGATATGGATTTCTCGATGGGCAATGGGTCCACCAGACAAATTATATACACAGGAACTTGTTCATTTATGTCCTGTGGTAGTTTTATAATGTGCGTTCATGATTGTGAATTGCCTTAATTTTCAATGATCCGTGTCTTGGTGGATTTTGGGAGAGCTTTTCAACTGAACATAGGTTCCAATAAGTTGGTAATTCAATCCAAGTTGAAGTAGAATTGTTTTCTGTGCATTTTGTTGTTGTTACTTTTTGAAAATCTTGTATAGACACTGTTGATAGACAGCACATGGTGTCTTCTGGTTTCTGTGATTTGCGGTCATGCAAGATACTGGTCTGGGTTCTTCTCATGTGCTCACCAATGATGTCTTATGTGTCATTCTTTTGTATGGCTATGATGCGCCTTGACTGGTTCCAATTTTTGTTCTTTCAGAACCCTTACATGGTAAACATCCTGCTTGCTGGTTATGACAAAGAGACAGGCCCCTCTCTATACTACATTGACTACATTGCTACCCTTCACAAGGTTGACAAGGGAGCATTTGGTTATGGGTCTTATTTTTGTCTCTCCATGATGGACAGACACTACCACAGTGGCATGTCAGTGGAAAAAGCAGTCGAATTGGTTGATAAATGTATAATGGAGATTCGATCCAGGCTGGTTGTGGCACCGCCAAACTTTGTGATCAAGATTGTTGACAGGGATGGAGCAAGGGAGTATGCCTGGCGTGAATCTGTCAAGGACACCCCAGTAGCCCAGCCTGAGGCTTTGGAAGTTTAACTTGCAGCTCTTTTTCCTTTTTCTTTTTCTTCTTCATGTCTATATGGGCCGACGGTGAATGTTATGTCTGATTGCCTAAAACTTGTTCCAAATGCTATTCCGGTACTTTATTTATGGGGTTATATTTGGTGACATTCCAGAGTTGTAATTTTGGAGTGTTATTGGACTTCTAAACTAGGTCTTCTCAAGTCTCTCTTGGCTAGAAAGGCTTTTTGGAACTGAAATATCTGATTCTCTCATATTGCCATTCTTCTAGATTTTATCTCTGTATGCGTGGATTTATTTTATTTTATTTTCTTCAAATGATGCACATGGGAGGTCTTGTAATGTTTATGACAATCAAAAGAATGCAATGGAACGGCCACCTTGAAACGCCAATGTATATCTCAATATAAGTTAGGTGATTAAATTGCAAAATTTTAAATTGGGGCGGATTGATGAATATTTTCTTACCGGAGAGAAAGGGTGAGAACTGATTTGCAATTACCCATACAATTATGTATTGCATCATCTGTTAGATAATCATGCAAGGTTTAATGGATTTAAATACACTGGAAGTCAAAAGATTCTTGAAAATCCTAGGAAAGAAATAAATTTAGGTAAAAATAAGTAAATAAGCTCAAATTAAAAAAAAATACTCACAAAAAATAAATTAGAAAATCATGCCTATGACAGTTACATATTTACTCGTTCATCAGTATCCATCACTTTATACTTTATTGAATATTATTAGACCATTTTTTTATTTACAAGATATAAATAATCATTTCGTTTGTAGTAGTGAAAATAAGTAAAAGATTAACAAAATAAAATAAAATATCTTTCTCAGGATAAAAATAACAAAATTCGAGTAATAAGTAAATAATAAAATTAGCAAAAAAGTTTTAACTATCCTTTCGGTTTTTTCTTTTTAATTTTTAATTAGTTTTTTTTCCTAATTTTTAATCAATTTTTGTTTTGTTTTTTTTTTTTTTTTGCTTTTTGTTTTTAATTGAAACCGATACAAATCTAACATATGTCCTTCCATCTATTTAAAATTCAAAATTAACGAAAATCAACGGTATCATAGACTTTTTTGTTTCTGGGCCTTTGAACTCCGTTTCTCACCCCCAAAAATATAAATCGCCAATGATTTGGATGGCATGGCGTCTCCATTCCAATGAAATAAAAGTTACTATAATAAAATTACTTAGAAAAGAAAAAAAAAAAAAAAACTTTGCCAATTGTATCAAAGCAATTTAGATTAGCTTGATTTTTGAGCCTTGTAATTATAATGCTTCGTGAAACTGCAATCAAAATTAGGAAAAATTGGATAAAGACGCATAATATTCTTGAAGTAGATGTTATAGCTGAATCCGAATGTTTTTCCTTTTTTTCTTGGAAGCGAAACTGAGTGTTGTACCGGTTTCTTGGTCACAAAATTTGTATGGGTGGAAGAATTAATAGTCATGACGCTTGAATGATTATGAGAGTCCCAGTGAGAAATTAATGTAATCTCTGATTAATTAGCTTCCAACTATCTTATTAACTTCTACACGCAGGCATGACTGTCGTTTACGTTTTTTTAGTGAAACAAAATTGAGATTAGTAACGTTAACAGGTGATGAAAAGGACATAGAAAAGTTGAAGAACGTCCTATAAATAATGGAAATAAACTACTTGATCAGAAGTGCAAACGGAATTGAGAGCAAAAAATACACAATGGAACACGCTTCCATTTCCCCTAGTCCGCATCAAGCTAACGCCCATGTTCTACTGGTGCCATTACCTATTCAAGGACATGTTGCACCATTTATGAAACTAGGACATCAGCTTGCTAGACATGGAAGCAAGGTCACATTCTTGACTACAGAGTTCATACGTGCGCAAATACAGATGGCTGGCGAGGAGCAGGAAGACATTACGATTATATCTGTTCCGGATGGATCAGCTCTAGAAGATAACCACAAAGATGATTATCAGCTAGTTCAGAGCTTTTTACACGTCCTGCCTGGCCACTTGGAGAACTTAATTAGGAAGGCCAACGAAGCTGAGCCTGATAGCAAGATTACCTGTCTCATCGTTGATTTGGTTTTCACTCGGGCTCCTCTGGAGATTGCAGAGAAGATGGGCCTGAAACATGCCATCTTTTTCCCTTCAGCACCAGGAGCACTGGCAATGATGCTTCACATTCCAAAGCTTATTGAGGCTGGCATTATAGATGCTGATGATGGTAAGCCTATGAACCACATGATGTAAATGACTTATGGGAACTTAGATGGAGAACAAGTAAAAATGAGTTAGCACTAAAATATTTCATAGGTAACAATAATTCTGATCGGAAAACAAAAATTTTGTAGGTACTGCGAAAAAGAATGAGCTGAAGATACAACTGTCACCAAATTTACCAGCCCTAGATGGTGCTGATTTTATTTGGAACGTCCGACCAGGAAACAAGTCCAACTTCAACCAAAAGGCTACATTTCAGTACCTACTTCTTGTCAACCAAATTTTGAAGGTTCCCAACTGGGTTTTATGTAACTGGTTCCACGAGCTTGACCCTTCAGCTAACGCTTTACTTCCGAACATAATAAAGGTTGGTCCATTACTTGCCAATGGGAAATCTATTGGAAACTTTTGGTCAGAGGACTTGTCTTGCTTACCCTGGCTTGACAGACAGTCTCCTGGATCGGTCATATATATTGCCTTTGGCAGCTCGTCAAGGTTCAGCCAACAACAATTTCATGAACTAGCATTTGGCCTTGAACTCATCGGTAAGTCATTTCTATGGGTTGTTCGTTCAGACTTCATCAATGGAAGTTCCAATGAATATCCCGATGGTTTCCTTGATAGAGTAACTAATCTTGGAAAGATAGTTAAGTGGGCACCACAAGAAAAGGTGTTGGCTCACCCTTCAATTGCCTGTTACATGACTCATTGTGGTTGGAACTCAACTATGGAGAGCATAAGCATGGGGATTCCCATGCTATGTTGGCCGTACTTTGGAGATCAGTTTTTGAATAAGAGTTGCGTATGTTATAGTTGGAAGGTTGGCTTGGAAATAAACCCTGATGAAAATGGGCTGATTTCAAGGTATGAAATCAAGAGAAAGGCGGATGAATTGCTGTGTGATGAAGGTATAAAAGCAAATGCACTCAAGTTGAAGGAACTGGCTCAAAACAATGCCAGTGAAGGAGGATCTTCTAAAAATTTCAGAGACTTTGTTGCGCAACTGATGCTTTGAGGATAATATCTTTCACCATTATCTGAGGCCAGTTAATCTTTGAATTTGCTAAAAAAAAAATAATAAATTCTGCTATTCGGTAATTGTCACCATTCTATCAATTACAGCTTCTTTTGCGATCGTTTTTAGTTCAGCTAATCTATGAGTTTGATAAGAGATGTTGCACTGTTGTCACCATAGGATATTAGAAAACTCAACTTCAACTTGGTCAAGAAAATAAATCTTTTGCAAATCCTTTTCCTGTTTTTGCTACGTCCTGTACATACATGTAAATGTTATTGATAACTATATATAAAAACATGAAATTTATATTTAATTATTTAATTTTAAAAAATATTTTAACACTGGATTAAATTAAAAGAACATAGTTTTGTAACTTTGTGTAAAGATAGGTAAATTTTAATTTTAGTTTTTTTAAAAAAATTCTAATATCAATTCTTTAATATGGTTTTATGACCACATGTAAAATTTATCTTGAAAATATTCTATAAAAGGCTTTTTTTTATTTTAATGTAGTCAGTGTAAAGAAAATAAAGCTTTTTCTTTTTTTACTAGTAGTATATATATATATATATATATACACTAGAAAGTTAAAAAAGGCCGAGCGTACCAGGCCTCGGGCACAAAAGGGCCCAGGCTCAGACATTATGTTGGGATGAAATAAAAAGAAAACGACGTGTCATTTACTTCCCAAAAAGGAATTTCTCAATCAGGTTGATAACGCGCCGTCTTTTACTATAAAATGGTCTAATAAATGGGAGTGAATTATAGATTAATCCCTTTAGTTTGGAGAAACTAATTAATTATTTAAAAAAAAAACTATTAAAACCTTATATTTTTAAATTTTCTTATAACTTAATTTTTTCATTTTATTTTAATTTTTTATTTTAAAATATAGAGAAACAAAAGGAAAAATATAGAAGGTTTATGTGAAAAAATGATTTTTTTAAATAAAATAATATTAAATTAAGTATGATCAATATTGATCGATTGACTAAACAATTTCTTTTAAAAAAACCAATTAATTATTTTTTTGAAAACAGAGGGACTAATTTATAATTTACTCAAAAAATGAAGACGTATTAATTTGATGGTTGGATCTTCCTAAAAATAAACACTATTTTTTTTTCTTTCTATTTCTTTTTCTCCTATGGCTTTTATTTTAGGAAATACAAGATTTTTTGCTTGCGCTACGCTGTAGGTTAGATAAAATATATAAAATTATTTTAAAAAATTATTTCAGTTTAATAGTCCGCTTTATGATATGAATCTATAAAAATATATGAAATCAAAGGTGAATATATATATATATATATATATATATATATATATATATATATATATATATATATATATATATATATATATAATTTTTTAATAAAAAATTTTGTATTTAACTATTTCTTATTTGTGTTTTTCATAATTTTTTCTTTAGAAAAAGGATTTATCCTTTTTAATCCATGGATTATTAACTAAAAAGAAAATTAAATAAATTTTTTTAAAAAAGCTTTAGTATTTCATAAGATTGTGTCAAAAAAAATAATTATTAAAAGCTTACATAAAATTGAATAAATAATTTTTTTCTTTTTATTTAATATTGATGAGAATGTCAATTTTTGAAAAACAAATGAGAATTTAATTTTTATATATTTATTTACAAAAGAATGAATAATATTAAAATAAATAAAAATTGTGAGTAAATATAATTTTAAATTAATTAGATGAGAATTTTTTTAAAAAAAATGACAAATTAAAGTAGTAAATTTGAAATAATAAAAATAATTAACAAAAAACACTAAAACAAAATGGAAACAAATCACAATACAATTAAAGTTTAAAATTGAATATACATATATATATATATATATATATAGAAAAATCGAGAACCATATAATTTTAAATTAATTGGATGAGAATTTTTTAAAAATGATAAATTAAAGTAGTAAATTTTAAATAATAAAAATAATTAACAAAAAATACTAAAATAAAATGGGACCAAATCATAATACAATTAAAGTTTGAAATTGAAAAGAAAAACATATAAAAAAATTGAGGGCCAAAGTGTTATAAAAATGACATGAATAGTGAAAGGAATAGTGATTTAGTAGTATATAAATAGTGATTTGTGAATGTGTGAACAATATTATAAATAGTAAAATATTATTTTACTTTAGTATTTTTTATAATCAATGTATATATATATATATATATGAAGAAAAAAAGGCTAAGCACCTCTGCGGCCAGGACGAGCTAGTGCCAAGCCTTAGCTGTTGGGTTCAACCCAACAAAAAAAGAAAAATAAAATAAAATAAAAACATTGTTCATTAAACAATGAAAGTGCCTTGTATTTTAGATTATTAGTAATGACCAACTAATGCTATATAATATGGCATAAGTATCACTGATTCAGGTTGCTAAAATAGGCGTGGGGGTTCAACCATGCCTTGAACATGTGCTTCATGTTTTGAGAGATTGTATTTAGGCTAAGGAGGTTTGGTTATGCTTCCTTTTTTGTTTTCAACTAATGACTTCTTTGTGCTCCCTATGAATCTATGGCTTGATGTCAATATTTTTTAGCAGTCTTTTTTATTCTCACAAACATCTTTTCATCATTATTTATTGGGTTATTTGGTGTGTAAGTGTTGGGTATATTCTATAGTTCTAGCCCATTGATGTTCTTAGCATAAGCTATTAAGAAATTTATTAGAAAAGATTAGTTTATGATCAGCACTTCGTTGTGGGCTTTATACGATTAGATGGGTGATTAACAACGTTGTTCACAAATGAGGTTATAAAATAAAACAGTATTTACAAATAAATTTAAAATCAATACCTACTTATTTTGTCTGTTCGGATTAATGTTCTGTGATGTAGTTTGTGAAATGGCTATATATATATATATATATATATAAAAAGGTTTGTACCGTAAATGAAAAGGATTATAATGTTGATAATTGAGAACATTTTTTTATGACCGACATATCCATTGAAAAATGCTTGGTCATGCGCAATATTACACAATGGGTGAAACTAAGTATGTTTATTTCAATTTAATATGTTGTATTATGAGATTAGTCAACTAAAATATATTAAATTAAATGTAAAAAGAATTCATCTAATTTCATACTATTTGTTTTAAATTTTGTATTTTATTTATTCTTCTTAATCTTTTTCATATTTTTTTTGTTAAAAAAATGATTGATTAATTTTTTGTTATGCAATCATTATTAAATAAAAACCTAATGTAAATAGCAAATTTACTATTTTTTTTTAAAAAAAACAACATCTTAATATTTTTTTACATGATCGCATCGAATCAATAAAGCAACAATCAAAAAGAGAACTTGAATAAAATTAACTTAAAAATCTTTTTTAACTTTTTAAAAAATACGTGCATTTGATTTATATATTTTTTTATTCACAAAATAAGGAATAATAGTAGTATGAAAAGATATATTTGAATTATTAGATGGATCTTCTAAAACACTATTTTTATTATTTTTATTTTAAAAATAAAAAAAATTAATAGCAAATGATTGGTGTTATGTGCATAAATACATAGTTAAAAAAAAAAATGCAATAGCCATTTCACCATTAAAAAAAAAAATTGTTATACTACCAACTCAAGAGCAACACACAAAATTCTAAATTAACTACTACTTAAAAAGTATTCTTAAATATGTTTGTGCATCAACTAAGATTAAATTTTGTTCACATGAAATTTTAAACCACAATCCCAAATGCCCGAAAGTGCATTCAAAAGAACATATTTTTCATTAGTATAAATCTTTTATAAATAATTATGTTTATTATACAAACAAAACAATAAATAGTAACAAAATCGGTAAGAAGTCTGGGCCTCAAGCTTTGCAAGTTTGTTCTTATTTCTTTCCTTTTAGAAGATGAATATAGCATGCTAGGCTTGCTAGTATATGGTAGGCATTGAGAAGACACATCAGAGAGAAAAAGATGTGTGAAATCCATCGATGAAGATTACCTACAAAAAGAAGAAATTTGTATTCCTCAAAGAGGTCGGTACTATCCTTTCCGTATATAGAATCATGTCCGCATAATAGAAATGGCTCTTCCCCTCCCTTTTGAAGCTAGGACTTGACCTACCGGTTACCACCTTGCTTGTCACAAAGAGTCCAACAAAATTAAGCCTCATGGTCATGGCATTAAAATGTAACTATATGGAAAGATCATGTTTTGCAAAAGATTTAACTTTTTTTCTCTATGGATGAGTACCGGAAGATACTTTTTTTTTTCTTTCGAAGGTTAAGTATCAAAAGATAATAGTTGAGTATCTTAAAACATCGAACAAAAAATAATTAAAAAAAAAACAAAAAGAATCCATTTTCCGATTAAGCACCAACAAACCGATGCAATCAAATGCATCTAATAGCAAAAGCTTACACATTTCTCCCATCCTAAAAGAAATTATAAAAAAATTATCCTTTATTTAATAACTAATGCAAGTAAGTCGAATCCTCAACAATTTCCTTTTTCAGCAAAGTAAACCCCTTTGACAAACCAATTCTACCACTAATGAGTTAACAATTGGAAAAATAATAAATTTAACAGATCGAAAACTTTCCGAGGTAGTTAAATAATCCCAAATACAAAAGAAAATTACCAAACGAAACGTGAACATGGATACAAAGATTATCCCAATACCAACCACTATCGAAAAACACAAATATATAATGAGCTTCAAAAAAAGAATATAATTAAATACCATCGTCGCTACCCGACGTCGAACCGGACTCCCAAAAAATAAAAAAAAATCTTTTGTTTAATCTCTATAGTTTAAGATGAATTTTTATTTACAAAAAATTGTTTACGTAGTTTGGAGTCGCCACCTAGTATTGAAGGAACTAGGAATCTAAAATGAGCACTAGTTCGGAGATTTTATGATAACGAGTTGGTTACGCTTATGGGAAGATATTTAATCACCCAAAAGCACCCCTTCCTAAGAAAGGTACCATGTCTAGTCTAGT